CCGGTCTCACCAGAGTCTTCTTTTGGTCCAGCCATAACAGGGAACGATGAAAGAGATCGAGAAAAGAGATAAAAAAAAAAAAAAAAAAAAAAAAAAAAAAAAAAAAAAAAAAAAAAAAAAAAAAAAAAAAAAAAAAAAAAAAAAAAAAAAAAAAAGGCAAGATTCGAACTGATAAACTAGAACTCCTAGAGTAAAAGATTAAGAGAAAATCTATTCGAACCTCGGTTTTAACTTAATAAAAAGTAACTGCAAAAGAAAGTAAAATAAGAGAATCAAAAGAAGTTACCTGGGAAACTGAATCAAGACGTGGAGAAGGTGGGGGAAATTGCAGTTAATATAAGCAGCTTTAAATCCCATCGAGCCTCGAAAATCGGAGGATAATTATTTCAAATTCTTTTAATTTGAGTCGTTCATTTCGTTAAATACAATCCTATCCGTTGGATCAAGTGAGAGATATCCTCGAAAAAAGATCACGAGTAATGATTATCTCGACGAAAAGCTAAGATTCGGCGGCTAGGTCTAGCTCCCGAGAAAGAGTATCTCTTCTCGAAAGTTGGGGGCAACTGTTGGGCCCAAATATAACCCGTTAGCTAAACATATTAGATCAATTAATTCAGCCTAATGATGGGCCGCAATTGAGTTGTCATTTCGAGACAGATCGAAGCTCACCTAAAGAGGGAGGCTGTTTCCGAGGATTCTTACAAGAGAGGTCACGGAAACGAGGTCACGGAAAAGAGGTCACGGAAAAGAGGTCCGACTTCTCTTTTGGGGGACCTAACAAATATAGCTCAGGATACGAAGTAAAAGGCGTACGATTCAGTCAAAGTCAGGTTGTTGCAAATCCCACAACTTACGGAGGCAATCTCAGAGGTTCATTGGGAGAAGTTAAACGTGACCTAGGGCTATTTAAAGGGAGAAGAGAGGAAGAAGAAAGAGAGAGATTTTGGCTATTAATTTTCACATACATTATTACTCACAAGTCATTCAGCGATTTCGTTGTATTCATCTTAATCATCTTTGTAACCCTTATTCATCAATACAATAATATTCATTCTTTAATAACTAACAGGATTCAGCCCACGATTGTCTTTTCCCCAATCTAAACCTAACCTAAACTAGAGAGTGAGGTTTACCCCTCACAGCTTCTCCTACTTTAGAAATCCAAAGGTGTAACTTTTGGAGGTTGCAGTTGGTACTTCTTGCCTCAGAACAGTTTGAGAAGTCAATCTTGATTAATCTGTTATATCTTCTTCAGCACTTGAGGTTGGTTTCTTGGCTGAAAAACGCAGCATGGGCGATCGTACAGCTTGTTTAACATGCACATGTGATGTAGATAGATATTTGGAAATATTCTAAATGTTTTATTAGTTATTTTAGATAGTTATCTTTATTGTTTAGGATTTTGTGGTTTTCTTATATATTGTCATTTAAGTTTAAGAGTTGTATACAGTTTATGATTTTATTAATAAAAATTGAGTTTTTTCTTTGTTACTTGTTTTCGGTAGATCTATAGAGATCTCAACAAATTTAAAAAAAACATTGATCTTAGGTATTCTTAGATTAAATAAGATCCTTGTGATTATTATAGTTTTCGGGTATTCTCAGATGCAACAGATCACTAATTATTTTTATAAATATCCCGCTCCATCAGTTGGTATCATAGCGGAATTTTGTTGTTCATCCTTGATTTTTTTGTTCATCCTTAACCGTAAGAACAATTTTTTTGCTGCCTTCTTCAACTTTATCTTCGTCAGAATAAACGTCGTACATTGGAGGTCCATAAATCTTGTTGTAAAGATCTTGAGCTTGAAAAAAATGCTCACCGTACACGGTAAGAATACTCTAATCGTCACGTTCATGAATCCATGACTCACCACGAGGATCCATTGAAAAACAAGAAGAATAAATAAAATCAATATCGAGGACCGTGTTTTGATCGAGAAAATCAAATCGGTTGGCTCTAATACCAACTGATGAAGCGGAAGCTTTATAGAATAGAATTAATGATTCGTTGATTCTGAGAATACTAAGGAAAACTATGATAATCAGAAGGATCTTATTTCTAAGCATACCTAAGATCAATGTCTTCTTAAATGTTGAGATCTCTATAGATCTATCGAAAACAAGGAAAAAACATAAAACTTTCAATTTTTATCAATCAAATCATAAAATTCTTACAACTCTTAAACCTAAATGGTTGTATATAAAAAAACCATAAAATCCTAAATAATAAAGATAACTATCTGAAATAACTAATAAGTTATTTAGAATATTTCAAAATATATCTACATCAACATGTACGCCAAGAAATTTCTTTGGTAAAATTTGATTTTTTGGCTGTTGAAGACATCCATAATAAAGTTGAGGATCAAGGATAGTAATACTGTCAAAATCCCAAGTAAGTTAAGATACTGCTAGCCTAGGACATGTATAGCTACTGAGGCATTTCAAAACAATACTTAAGAGTACCTTTTGAATGCCAGCATGTTAATGATTCTATTTTTTTTTTTTGAACGTTTGATTAATTATGATATTACAACGATGAAAATATCACATAGACGATTTTACGGCCGACCATTCTACTATCTTGTGAGGATACACGCTTGACTGCATCACTCCGAACCGTCCTATGCGATCCATGTTCGATGGTACGCCCTGCACCAAGCTGAAGATTTCTTGTAACTTGTTTCTTCATAATCTGCATAATTTAGTGTTTTATGAGCTTTGAACCCCACACTTCAAGGTGTAGAAGCATTAATGAACACTTGGTCAAACCATTAGACCAAGGGGGCTTCCACAAAATTAGAAAATAGAAGCATTATGATTCTAAATTAGAAAAAAAGATTTGATACGAATATGCACAGAATCAAACATTCTAGTTAGGGCTGGACAATCGGGGTCCCAATCGGGTTTCGGTTCGGGTTCATTCGGGTTTCGGGTTTTCGGGTTCATAAATTTCAGCCCCATTCGGATATTATAAAAATTCGGGTCGGATTCGGTTCGGGTTTAGTCGGGTTCGGTTCGGGTTTAGTAACATGTCCAAGATCCGGTTGAACCCGAAATAATTTCGGTTTCGGATACTAATCGGGTTATCGGTTCTAAAAATACTAATTTATACTCAATTAAACTCACTATATTTTCATCCATTTTATTAAATTTTTGTATTTAGCTTCTACAAACCATATTGTTCTCCTTCAAAATAATATTGTGAAACTCGTTTATCAACCAAATAAGATTTGTCATTGAACAATATGGTTTAGCATCTACTAACCACATTGTTCTCCTTCAAAATAATATTATCATGATTAATGACAAACCAAAACCTTGTATGAACGAAATATTATACATAATGAAACATAAAAAATTAAAGTTAACAACTAAAAATTTTATAAACGTAAGAAGTACTATTTACACTTTAAAAAAAACAACATTATATAAACTTCAAAACAAATTTATTCGTAACTTAACTTCAAATGTAATGTCAATCATAAACATTAATAATAACCAAATAACACCATACATTAGACTAAATATTTGAGTTAATTATTTATATCATAACTAATTATTGTAGGTACTCAATAATATATTAATCTATTTTGGAAAACATATTAGAAATTTTCATTGGATATGATACAAGTTTTTTAGGAGTTTTAAAGTTTCGGGTTCTTTCGGATATCCATTTAAGTTCGGGTTCGGTTCGGGTAATACCCATAACCCGAAATACCGTAAAACAAGATCCATTCGGTACTTATGTCGGGTTCGGATCGGTTCGGGTTCCTTTTTATCGGGCCGGATTCGGTTCGGATTTTCGGGTTCGGTTTTTTTGCCCAGCCCTAATTCTAGTGATAAGAAAATAATAGAGGGTTACTGGAAGTTTACCCGAAGTTGCTAAACAAATCAATCGAATGTTTAATACAGTGGATCCAAAAAAAAAAGACAAACCAATACTAACTATCTGTATCAGTATCAATCGAGAAGACTTATACTTTGAAACTTGAAAGTTTGGATCGCGGTAGTGAACAAAAAATTGTATTGATCACTTTGTTGACTTGGAAATTCGCTGATGATCCTATGCGGTTGTCCTCTGGCGTCTTACCTTCCACCGTTGGTATTATTCCAAGTTCCCAAGTTTGATATATACACTTCTGTTATGGATTAAAGCCAAGCTAAAACACTACTCTCTAATGTGTGATCGGTGGAAAAATCTCGAATAGAACACAATCTGTTTAGAAACATTATAGAGTAGTCTCAAAAGAGACGTTCAAAGTAGAGAGACATACACCAACCACCAAAATACGAATTTGCCAGATATCTATAAACGAGCAACTGAATGGATGTGTAAAGAATAGGTTAAAACATACGATCAGAGCTTCAAAACGACCCTCCCAAGTCCCCCAGTATAACCATTGAATCTTCTTATTCATCATATTAAATTGTCCCACATCGGACACAATTGTGGTCCTTGGGCAATATATAAGTGTATGGGTAATCCTTCACTCTTGAGCTAGTTTTTTGGTGTGAATTAGGCCATCAATAATATGATATCAGAGCTCAAGGTTTAGCCAGTTTTCTACTTATGTAGCCTGTAAAAATGACCCGTTGCTGTAGTATTTCCGAGATGTTAGCCTTGGGCTGTTTCCCTATGGACCATTCCTCACCCACATCTCGAGAGAGGCTATTAAATTGTCTCACATAGGACACAATTGTTGTCCATCACTAATACTTCATCTTCCCCTCTTTTTTTTTCTCTGATTTCTTTTTAAGTTCCCAGTAAAGGAAAATAACACTGACAAGAAAATAGTTGGTCACCAAAGATTCATAGACAATTGAAATAAATAGAAAAAGCATGAAAGCAAGCACATGTAAGCTCTTTACCCTACAATGCACACATTACATCAGTGGAAGCTCGTACAAGCTAAACAATCTCAAAGACGGTAAGCTTGACATTTCAAGCGAGTAAATTTTACCATTGTTCACCTCTCAGAACTAATGCTCGAAGCTTTCTTATGCTTCCCACGACGTTCTTTCACATCCTTAAGCTTCTCTATCTTCACATTCTCGGTATTAGACTTTGACACAGATCCTTCTTGAGCACTGCACATTTGATGTGACTTCAGCTTCATACCAAACCACGTTTTGCTACTGCTTCCCGAACCACCACCACCACCACCTTTTGTCGTCTTACCAAGTTTCTCAATCTCTTGTCTCATATTTGAACATTCTTTCTCTAACTCACAAACCCTCATTCTCATACTGTCCATTCCAACTTTCAAGACTTGATTCTCTCTTACTGCAGTCGCCCATCCTCCTCCTCCTTCGGTTGATCCTCCTGCAAATCCGCCGCTTCTTAACTGTCTTGACCCGCCATCAAGGTTGTCTGAGACCAGGAAGCATCCAGCTACAGAGGTCCTGAGCTGAAGCTGTTCAAAGAAGAGGACTTGCACAATTATTCTTAGAGGTAACCTCTCGTTCTGCGCGGCGTGAGTGCAAGCTTCTAAAGAGAGCTTCTGGCAATCTAACAACCTGCAAAGATTCTCTCTTTCTGTTTCTGCTAACCACGGATGATGCTGCCAATCATCAAAAAAAAAAAGAAAAGAAAAACTTTGTTAAAGAAAGACAAATATTGTACAATATTGAGAGGGTTCTTCTTACCTTTAAGTAAATGTCTATTGCGCGATAGAGTCCATCATCTAAGAGTCTGGCGTATTCAGGAACAGAAGCAGCTAAGGCTTGGAACTTAGGAAGCTTGAGATTAACATCAGGAGCAACTTCAGCAAGATACCCATCGATCAGCTTTGCAACTGCTGTCATTGGTGTTATTGACTGTGGGGATCCGATTATATTCCCATCATCCACTGAAGAGCAAGGAGAGCCAACGTCAAGGGGCCTAATCTGATCCGTACTAAGAAAGTGGTCCAAGATTCTCTGCACAGAGTCAACGTCGTATAGAGTCTCCATAGTATGAGAAAAGCTAGGCATTACAAGATCCTCCAACGCCGCCTGGTCAAGCTGCATCCCTATCCTCTTCTCCAAGTTCGCTATGCAGCTCGGACTAGCTTTCAGAATCTTGGCGATTCTAAGCATGTCGGCGAAAAACTTGGTCGGAACTAAACCTTTTTGCATGCGTAGAAGCTCCTCGGTCTCTTCAAGCAAGTGTTTCTGCTCTTCTTCGGACAGTACGCTCCCCGAGCTCAAAGGTGTGCTGAAACGACCGCTGGATTCAGGTCCACCACGTCGTCTTTTTAGGCCAGGCAAGTGTTTTTTTGTGTAGTAGGTTAAGGAACTGGCAATGATGTCTTCTCTTATGCCTCTGGAGTCCATGACTGTGATAAGTCTCTTAAAAAGAGGAAAGCTAAGCGTTGAGGCATCCTCGTACCACCAGTCTGAGCTAGTGTGTTTAGGCCTTGCCCCTGTGCTTATCCCGTTCCATAAAACGCTGCCACCTGGACTCTGCATATGCTCCACAACTGGCCATCCAAACAAGTTTGGGTCTGTGGATGCTCTCATAGCTAGTGACTCGATACACTTCTTGGTAATGTTCAATTCATCAGCGTAGTCCAGCACCTCGTCACAGCTTTGCAGGGCTTTTATTGAATCTTTCCAGCTTTTAAGGACTACTTGGTTGAAAAAAGTCTCGGTTTGAGAAATTAGGTTTCCTTCTCCATACTCTTCGGTCATTTCGAGATGCTCAGCGGCGCATCTGAGGTATACAACGTTGGAAGCAGTGAGTTCTAGCTTCACACCGTAGCAGAACTTGGCGACTAGTTCAAACGTTTTGTCTCCGCCTGGAAGATCAGATATCTGGATGAGACATTTATCATCTTCTTCTTTCGATGCTTCCGCAATTCTTCTTTCCATGACTCCACTTCTAGAGAGCAAAGGAAACTGCACATAGCATGGAATTAAAAAGCTATTGCAAGCAACATCACCAATATGTCTCAAAGAGGAGGTTTAGGTAGAGACTGGATTCTATACTAAGTGTTAGAATTCTAATTACTACAAACAAGACAATACGACAACTACAGATAACCGAACGAGTTTTGTAAGAGCCGAAAGAAGAAAGACGTTGAAAAGAAACTTCAGTAAATAAACCAGCACAGTGGCACTAGTAATCAGTCCTAATAAGAAGAACAAGAGCTGAAACAAAAGATTCATCAACAACAGTGTTTCACACAGGACTAACATGACAATGTTGAAATCCAAACACATCTTTGATACATAGCAAATATAGAATGCTGAACAAGGGCGTATTATCATTCTAGATGACAATTATCATTACAGATAAAGGAAACTTAACACAGTGTTACAAGAAGAGAGTGGGTTGTCTTGTTAAAGCTAATCAAATTTACCTTGTGGAGATGGAAAGACATGTCTCCAACTTCAACCACAATATCACTTGGAAGTCCAGTTGTGCAAAACCTACAAGAAGACAGAGTCAGACAAAGGAATAAGCTTTGACTCAGTAATACTCAGACCACAAGTCTCCAATTCAGTCAACGTCAGAAGGAGAAAATCAAGAAGAAGCAAAGATAACACTGTAACATAAGAGAGATAAAAAGGTGAGTATTACCAAGCTTGGCCTTGTCTCTGGAAAGCATCAGATTTGGATCCCAGCTTCATGCAAGCCATACTCTCTCTCAAACAGAACTCAAGAAAGAAATTGCAGTAGCTAAGCCTCCACGAAAATCAAAACCCTAACGAACAGACAAACAAAAACTGCTAATTTCTCAGAAAGAAAGAGACTTTGGATCCATCCCTTAATACCCAGATCAATTTCACTCAGACATTTTAACTCTTAGGCTGCATTCAGCAAGCTCACAATAATCTTCCAGAAATTAAACCCAAAGAATCACACCGATATGTAATAAAAGAGATCCCTTTGACCAAAACACTACCTCAGAATCTCAAATAATCTTATCTTCAACACTAATTTCAAACCCTTTTCCCCAAACAAAATATTGAGAAGAAGAAAAAAAGAAGTCGAACCCCCAGAAACCCAGCTAGACAAAAACAGCTAAGCAGAGAAGTTACCAACTCTTGTAGCTTTTATACGAGAATATTAAGGGGACCATATAGCCAAACATTACATTTTTATTGTAAGAAAGAAAAGGATAACTTATTAAATTTAGGAAAATAGAGTTAACTGTTTATTTCTGTATTGGTTGCTTTATATTTAGAAATTATATTTTAATACTACTATATACTCCCTCTGTTTTAATATAAGTGTCACTCTACAGCTATGCACACGGATTAAGGAAACAATTAATTTTACATATTTCCTATATAAAAACACAATTACCCACACACCTAACCATATTTTAACCAATAGAAAAATAAATTACATAATAAAATTAATAAATTTTGTATTGAAAACCGAAAACGACACTTATTTTGTAACACAAAAAATTCTCTACAACGACACTTAATATAAAACGGAGGGAGTAAAGTATAAGGAAAGAGATGATGGACATTTGAAAATCTCGAGTTGTAGGTTAATGAGATGAGTAAAGCTTTTTTGCTTCATGTGTGGGGTCTTTTGTATCTTCAAACACACTCATTGTGTTGATTCTCGAACAAAGCAAACACTTTTGTTTTTGTAATAAAATCTCACACAACTGTGGGGTTTAATTAATTATGTCATAATCTCTACTCAAGGGAATCCAATCCTTCCCACTAATCTTTGGCGTGCGAGTTAGGTTATAATGTGTTGTTCATTTCCGTAGAGACCATACAAATTTTATGTTAATGAAAGTCATACAGAAAAAAAAAAACAAAAAGTCATACAGATTTTGTTATATTTTTATTTTTACATATTCTCTCTATTTCATTTAAATAAAAATTATTTGTTGCAAAATAAATATCGTTTCGACTTTCAATACAAAATTTATTAATTTTATATTATAAGTTATATTTTTATTAGTTGAAATATGATTACGTGTATAGATAACTGTGTTTTTATATAAAAATTATATAAAGTTAGTTATTATTTTTAATTTGTGCATACAAAATTAAAGAAACAAATAAAATAAAATAAAATATTTGGATATAATAACTTTCCAAAATTCTCTGTGACGCTAATAAACCATTCACCATGTATATTGGATATATATTTACCGTTTACGAAGCTACCTATTAATTTTATATTATAATATATGTTTGGTGGAAGGTTTATAGACTTCTATAGCTCAATTTAGTGGATGTAGATGAGTTTGGATAGACAATCTTAGAGAACTTCTACTTATAGGAACGAGAAACTTAAGGAGGAGAGAAACTGTGATGCATTCTGAACTTGAAGCACCGCGATGCGCAATGAATAACATGTTTCAACATTCGTCATGCCAGTGCTTCGGAACAGATTGCAAGGATCTCATCGTGATGATAAAATGACTTAAAGCTTTGTCGAGTTTTGCAACAGAATTGGAGATATTAAAGACGATGCTTATATGCTTCCCAGAGTTCAAGATATGCTATATTCCAAGAACTCACAATGAAATTTCAGACTTCTTAGCTAAGAATGATAGATATTTCCATACGAAACTCTGTTAGGTTGGTTATTTTATTCTGATATGGTTATCTAGACCACCTCGAATTTAAATAATAGAAAAATCGTTCGCTGTCAAAAGAAAAAATGTTTTTTTTATCAAATTTAAAAATAATTAATTATGAATATAATTTGGATATTTGATAGTGCTTGTCAGATGAATGTGTTTTTATCAAAATGTAAAAGAAAACTGAATCAAATATTATAATTTTTTTCACTCGTATATATATGTGACAACTTTTTTGTCGAATATAAGTAAGAACTTTTGTAACAGTTTTTTTTAGTAAAACTTTTGTAACTTTTGTACAGTTAAATGCAAACTCACATTGACGTTGGATTTAAGTTCGTAGTCATTATTAATGTCTATAATCAATAAGTTATGATAGTGATCAATCCTGTCAAAACTATATGTCATTCATTTTGTTTTGCAATTTTAAAGACCCTAACTCTCTCGATAATATTCCGTGAATCATCTCGCCGACTTGTCCTACTCACGAAGGAATGAGTAAGGGGTGTAACACCTTGAGTTTTTTTTTTTAAGTAATCAGAAAAACGGTAACACTGTGAGTTGAGGATTTTTTTTTTCTAGCATGATCAAAGAAATTAAATTATATTAGAATATGTTGGAACTCATTTTTTACGAAATGATTTAAAACCATTTTTGGTAAATTTTCGGGTGAAGACATTCATCGGAATATCAAAATGTTTGACACTATGAAGTAGTGTAGTCATATGTCAAAATCAGAGTTAGTTTTAAATTAGAAATGAAAATTTAAAGTGGATACTTGAAAAGTTTGTAAAGCTTCAAAATTTGACTTAAGTGTAAAAATTAACAAATAACCACTTTAGAAATGATGGATTTGGGTTTGGTGTATTAATTTATTAACTGAATATTACATCTAGTAATTTATTATTTTACACCAAATTTATATAAATCTTTTGTGGTAAATTTTATTTACACAAAGAAAAATCCATTATGAAGCATATTGTTATTAAGAAATTTGTCAAATATAATACCTTCATTTTAAATGCGATGAAATCTTGGTAAGAATGGTGTTCGACTCACATTTGCCATGGTTCATACATTTACAATAAAATTTCATAAAAGACCACTATATCATTTACGTTTGATTTCGTAGAAACCATAACGTAATAGTTTGTCATAATTGTGTGACTTATGGCTCTCATTTTTTGTCACTATATAAAGGTGTTTGCTATTATAAAAAAACAGAGATATCGAGATTCATACGAGTAGGAGTAGGGATGAGACGGATCCAGATATCTGGGAAATTTGAAATATTCGGATTCAAATTCGTTGGATCCGTGATTTTATTATCTGGATTCGGATTTGTGTCTTCCGGATATCTAGGTTTCGGATATCCGTCTAGATATTGTGATATTCACGGGTATCCGGATTCGGATTCGGATTCAGATCTATAAAAATAATTAATTTTTTTTAAAAAGTCAATTTTTTAAAAATAATACATAAATTAAATATTTATGCATAATTTATGAATATATATATGACATATAAATATATTAATATAAAATTAGAATATTATTAAGCTTATTTTATATATAAATATTAATATATCAGATATAATTAATAATAAAATAAAAAATTTAATATATTTTTTTAAAAATTCGGATCCGAAACCGGATATGCGGACCTAAAAAATAAGATATCCGGATCCGGATTCGGTTTGCACGGATCCGAGATTTTACTATCCGGATTTGGATCTGGGCATCCTTAGATATCTTAATTTCGGAGCGGATCCAGAGCGGATCTAAGATCGAATCCGGATCCCAGATAAAAGTTCCAGCCCTATATACGAGTAACAATTAGATTCTACCATATAAAGTAGTTATGTTTTATCTTTAATTTTGAGTCTGAAAATACATCACAGAATTAGTTTCGTTAGACTTCCGTTAGAGTGACGTAGATCAAAAGATCTTTTACAGTTCTATCCTAGGATCCATTACATATAGAATCGTCGCACTACGGGACGTATCTTGGCTTAAGGAAAAAGATAACATCTTGATTCTGCTATTTTATCATCATCTTTTCTTAATTTTTAGTATAATCTTCTCTCTTTTTTTTTACATCTATCAGTCTTAACCTAAAATATTCGTTTATTGTTTTGCACTAACCAACATGGAACCAATAGGCCACTCACCATTAACTTAACATGAATGAAGACTAATAAGTATTATTATAAAACCTCCAAATCATTTTCTCCAACCCTATATCCCTAAATGAGTTTATAAACTTTAAAATTTATAATAAATAATTAAAAAATCATAAAAATATTAGTAAAAATATTAAAACTTATAATAATTATTAAGTTATTTATAAGTAGTATTAAAGATATTCAATAACGAATTTTTTTAATCATTAAGTATTATTGAATATCTAATTATTAATTATTAAGTATTTTTAATTATTTAATAAAACTATTTAATTATTAAGTATTATTGAATAATTAATTATTAAATAATAACGAAAATTTTAAATCATTGAGTATTATTCAATACTTTATTAATTATTGAATTAAATTATTTAATTATTAGGTTATTTATAAATTTTTTAAGTTAATCCCTAAATGATTTTATAAAAATTAAAATTTATAAATAACTTAATAATTAAATAATTTAATTCAATAATTAATAAATTATTCAATAATACTTAATGATTGAAAATTTTTTTTATTATTTAATAATTAATTATTCAATAATACTTAATAATTAAATAATTTTATTCAATAATACTTAATGATTAAAAAATTCGTTATTTAATATTTTTAATACTACTTATAAATAACTTAATAATTATTATAAGTTTTAATATTTTTACGAATATTTTAACGAATTTTTAATTATTTATTATAAATATTAAAGTTTATAAAATCATTTAGGGATATAGGGTTGAAGAAAATGATTCGGAGGTTTTATAATAATACTAATTAGTCTTCATTTATATTAATTAAAGTGCGAGTGGCCTAGTGGTTCTGGTTGGAACAAGTGTTACTTTGGCCATGGGTTCGATCCTCCGTTGATGCAATATTTTTATATTTTTTGAAACGACACCGTTTTGACTTAACGGCAGATTAGAGACGGCTACTAACCCCGTCTAATCAATCCGTTATCTGAGTTAACGTCGTGTTTAATTTGCTTTAGTCAAACTAAATTGAGGTTTAAAATGGCTATTCAAACTAAATTGGTGTTTTAAATGGTCTAAGGCAAAGTTCATGATTTTTTTCAACCAAATTTAAAAGTTCGTGATTTAAATGACAATTTTCCCAATTATTACACCAATTTTCAGTATTTTACAGAACAACATAGAAACAAAGAGGAGAATTGACGAAATTAAAACTAAACACAGACAACAAGCATAAAGACCAAAGCATAACCACAAGCTACAACAATAAGCGAGGAAAAAGGATATGAAGACCAACCAAAACAATTGCAGGAAACAAATGCTTAACCCCCA